CAGTGTCACTGGCCCTCATATGTGGGATCCGAACCGGGGCCCTCTGGCATCCCAAGCGAGTTCTTAACCATCGCGCCACTCGGCCGGCCCCCAGATGCTTAATTTTAAAAAAAAACAAATCTAAAAATAAGTTTTATCTGTGTTTACATATGCACAGAAAATGTATGAAAGAATAAATGATATAAATGGCTTTTCTCTGAGTGTGAGTGGATGGCAAGGCAGGAAGAGGAAGGCAGAATGAGAATTTCAACGTTTTTCTCCATGCAATTCTCTCTTTTCTTTATGTTCTTTTTTTAAGTAAAGACGTATGCTTTTATAATGAAAAGAATATTTAAAAGAGAAGCTTCTTGAATTTTATCCAATATTACTCTGTTTAAAGAGTTCCCCAGTAATGAAACAAGGTATTTATATGAGATGGTCCTTAAAGCCTATTTTCATTAAAAAATAATACATATACTTGTTTTAAAAGATCAAATACAAAAAGATATAATGTATTCACTGCCCATGAAACATCATAGGTATTTAAGTGTTAATACTTAGTATGTATTTTCCCAACCATTAATCATAGTATAGAAAAATACATAAGTTTTAGAAAAATGAAATGTTTTATATTATTTTATGTCACTTTCTTTCACTTAAAATTACACTACAAACATCTTTCTATGTCAGTGCATATATAGCTTTATTTCCTTCATTTTTTTTTAGAGGACCAAATGGAATTATATTTTACAGATATACCATATGATCAATCCCTTACTCATGAGCATTCATTTCAATAAATATTAAGCAATTACCATGCATCAGATTCTTTTCTAAAAGTTGGGAATAGGGCTGGCCGAGTGGCTCAGTTGGTTAAGAGTTGGCTTAGAGCGCGGGCTCTGAGCAACGGGGACGCCGGTTCGATTCCCACATGGGCCAGTTGACGCTGTGCCCAAGCTGAGCTATCACTGAGCTGCCAACAGGTGGCAGATGGCTCAGCTGGTGTAACAACAAGATTGCCTGTTCCATGGTTGGCTACACCTCCAACTGCAACTAAGACTGAACTCAGCACCTTGAGCTGAGCTGCCGCCCGGATGGCTCAGTGGATAGAGCGTGCATTCTTAACAACAAGGCTGCTGGGTCCGACTTCTGCATGGGATGGTGGCTATGCCTGCCAGCAACTAAGACTGAACTCGGTAACTTAAGCTTAGAGGCCACGAGCTGCCAACGGGAAGCCAGACGGCAACGAAGACTGAAGAACAACTTGGCTGGTCCCCTTCCCCCATTCCCCAAAACTGTTCCCCTCCCCCAATTCTCCAATAAAATCTTTAAAAATAAATAAATAATAAAAGTTGGGAATAAATTGGTAAAAAAGGCAGATAAGGTCCTGTGGAGGAGAGACTGTCCCATGACATGATAGGCACCGATCTGACACTTGAGCTAGATCCAGCTAGATCTGGCCCAAAACAGAGACTGCTTCCCCTAAACCACTTCAGAAAGTGCCGGACCCCTCCCGTGTCCTAGGCATGCTGGTTCCTGTAACAGGCCCGTGCCCTCCCCAGGTCAAGTAAGTAAGACATTTTCCCCTTATCCATCCTGCTCTGTCCTATAGTGCTTGCCATGACATGCCTCATAAATAAGTTCCCTTAATAAACTCAATGTAATACTGGAGTTGTCAGCCTCTTTCCCGTCTTCTGGCCCTGGGAAATTTTACATAGCAGGCCCTTGCTCTCAAGAAGCTTTCAGTCTAGTGGAAGAGACTCTATGTGTTCATTTTTATACATGGTAGAAGTTCTGATACAGGAAAGATAGGTAGGAGGTAACAGCTGAGTTAGGGCATAAGCCTTGAGACACTGTATGTTTAAAGAAAAGAGAAAGGACACTTCAAATGTAAGGGAGCAGCTGAATTCACAGGACAAAAAGAGCAATAAGAACAATGTCTGCCTCAATTACAACTTGTACTGATGTAATGTAAAAGGTTAAGTTGGTCAGTTAAGGTGTCAAACATGCAAAGCCACAAATTTTTATTGAGATATAATCAACATATAACATTGTATTAGTTTTAGGTGTACAACATAATGATTCAGTATTTGTGTATGTATATATATATATATATATTTTTTTTTTTTTTTAAGATTTTTTTTTTGGGGAATCGGGAGAAGGGGAACAGACAAGTTGCTGTCATTTTGTTCTTCAGTCTAGTTGTGGAGGACATTGCTTCACTGGCCCATGTTGGCACCATCATTGCGCTCTTCCTGGACGAGGCAGATAAGTCGCCGGCTTCTGGACGGCCGCTCACTGCGGCTGCTGGCCGCTCACGCTGGCTGCTGGCTACATACGGTGGCTCATGGCAACCCACTGCCACAGGGGCTGCAGCCTACGCCGTCGCCGGCGACTCACAGGCAGCCCAGCTCCAGGTTGAGCTGTTGTTCAGCATCTTAGCTGTAGAGGGCAGTGTCACTGGCCCTCATATGTGGGATCCGAACCAGGGCCCTCTGGCATCCCGAGCCAGTTCTTAACCATTGCGCCACTCGGCCGGCCCCTGTATATATTTTTAATGATCGCCACACTAAATTTAGTTGACATCCATCACCTCACGTAGTTAACAATTTTTTTCTTGTGATGAGAACTTTTAAGATTTACTACTCTCTTAACTACTTTTAAATATACAATACAGTATTGTAAACTATAATCACCATGCTGTACATTACATCCCAGGACCTATTTATCTTATAACTGGAAGTTTGTGCCTCTTGACCACCTTTCACCATTTTCCTCCACCCCACCCTCACCTCTGGCCACCACCAAACAGTTCTCTGTAACAAGGACATTGGTGCCAAATATTAGTGTGATCATACAGTATTCGCCTTTCTTTTTCTGATTTATTTCACTTAGCATACTGTCCTCAAGGTCATCCATGGTGTCACAAGTGACAGGATTTCCTTCTCTTCTATGACTAAATAATATTCCATTATCTACATAAACATTTTCTTTATCCATTCATCTATCAATGGACACTTAGGTAATTTCTGTCTTAGCTATTGTAAATAATGCTGCAATGAACTTGGGTGTGCAGCTATAGCTTCAAGATAGTGATTTCATTGCCTTAAGGTAAATACTCAGATGTAGAATTGCTGGATCCACAAATTCTGAGCTAAAGAGTTTTCATTTTCTGATTAAGGGAAGTGAGGGTGTGTGCTGAATATTACCTGTTGATACTTCAGACTATTCCTCCATCCTCATCTTTTAATCCCTCCCTGTTATGGCAGGGGCTACAAACATTTCCCATGCTCCATTGCCAACAGGATTCCATTTAGAGAATCCATTAATGAGAGACAATTACACAAAATTTTAAAGGTGAAAGACAAGTGGAAGTCACTGTCCTCCAGAGGCAGCTATGGGTAGGTACAGGGTCATCAGATGTGAGGTATCACAAGTGGCTTTAGGCATTCTCCTTACAACCCTTCACTGTGCTGCTACAGGCAGCTTGAGATCAGCAACAGATTTCTGCAATCCTACATGTTCTCATTACTTAGGCTTTGGCAGTGACTTCCCTCAAATGTCACTCAAAAAAATCTAGAGTATTATTATTTTTAACCAGAAAAAAACAAAACAAACAAAAAAACCCCAACAACCTAGTAACCAGATTGGAAGTAAAAAGTGTGAGACTAGGCTATGGAGAATGAGAACGTTGGAAAGGGAAGCCAATTTACGACAGAAAATGCTGAGTTTGGATCTAGGTATAAAAAAGATTTTGGTGATAACTTAAGGACATCAAAGTAGAACTATTCTGTAATAGCTGAAATATGGATTGAAACTATTACATATATGCATATATAATTCATATTGGTACTATGGAGAGTGTGTATGGGTGCTTATTTATTGGAATCAGTCCAAGATGTAATAACTAAAGAAATCAGGATACATAGACTGA